AGATGGATGGATGGATGAACCGATGAACAGATGGATGGATGAACCGATGAACAGACTGATGGATGGATGGATGGATGAACAGATGGATGGATGAACCAATGAACAGACTGTTGGATGGATGGATGAACAGATGGATGGATGAACAGATGGATGGATGAACCAATGAACAGACTGATGGATGGATGGATGAACAGTTGGATGGATGAACAGATGGATGGATGAACCAATGAACAGACTGATGGATGGATGGATGAACAGATGGATGGATGAACAGATGGATGGATGACGGATGGATGGATCTTACCTGTATTTACGGTGGTGAATGATGATAACGTGCTCAGTAGTGTTGAGGAGGCGCTCTCCTTTGTAAGACCAGGACAGGGAGCGTGGGGCAGGATAGGCATCAAACTCCACTCTGAGGCTCAGGCTCTCTCCTTCTCTAACATCCGCCTGGACCGGACCAGGACTTCCTAACATTGAAATGAACCCAAGGCCTGACGAACAGAAATACGTTGGTTTATTTATCAAAGTGTTTACTTTGGGATTCTCTTTTACTGCATGTCTGAGTCATGTATTATTACTTGACCCATGCCTTGAACAAACACTCTCAGCGGGCTGCAACAACACATGAGTGATGTCAGGTGGAACCCTGAGGCACTGAACTTCAATTTGCATGATATGCAAATGAAAAACATTGCTTTAAGGGTTTAAAGTGATTGCTTAAGTTTTTTTGTGTGTGTGTTGTTAAAGTTCTGACCAAAAGTAAAAAGTCATACAAACAGAACAAATGTATCACTTACTGCGTACGACCAGCTGCATTGCAGCGTCACTGTCACCTCTTTCATTCTGGGCGTGGCAGCGGTAAGTGCCTGAATCTGATGTGTTGACAGCCGCTATCAAGAGCGAGGTTGAACGTCTGAATCCTCGGGAGCCGGACAAGATGTGGGAGTTCTGGGATTTGCCCGGACGCTGCAAATCAGTAGCAAAAATGTCCTGCGTCTGTTGTTTTTCTCACCATTCAACATGTAACGTTAATAAACAAATTGTGCATTTCATAAAGTATTGTCAGTTTTGTTTTGAAATCTTTTTTGCTGCACAGTGTGTACCTTTAAAGTCTCATAATTGCCCTAATTTAGAAGCAGGCCCCATAACATTTACAGTCAATCTGACATCCTGGCAGTCACCCTGCAAATAAATTCCCAACATAAATCTCACCGCTGTTAGAGGGACGTCCCACTTAAGAGAAAAGTCCGGGTTGACATTGGTGGAGCTGCAGGTGAGCTCAAAGCGCTCTCCTGTCCTCAGGATAATGGTGTCTTTTTGGGACAGAGTGATCACTGGGCGCTCCGTTGGCACTGGATCAAGACACACAACAGCAGCTGTAGATTTAACAAGGCTCCCTGCTTCTGCAGCTAAACCATCTTAGCAGACACAAACATGGGTATGTCAGTCAGTTTTACAGATTTTGATGGAAGATTTGGCATGTTACTACATGAGAATCATTTCCAACACAAACTCCAAGTGCTAACTGATTGCATGAGATCTGAGAACGTCTGGAGGCAACTTTGCCTCTTTATCAGCAACGTATCTCAGAAACCAGTGGATGGAATTTAATGAATCTTCCAGAAGACATTTGTGAAGCACAGATCTGCAGTGAAACATGTATACACGCAGCCATGTGCAATTCCTTTTTATCAGATGGCGATCTGATAAAATCGCTTCTTTTTTCTGTGTTTATTCCGCCGTAATTCCGTTTCCCCTAAACGTGGCCGTCACACGCTGTTGCACAGCTTTGTTCAAAATCCCTCAGCTCCTCCCTGAACACATCTCCTCCCCGCCTCTCCATCAGTCAAAAGGACACCGTCAGAACAAACCCCCTGCCCTCCCCCACCCTTACTGCTGGCAGGACTAAATGTTGATGAAGCACAGAGAACAGGAACATGATCAGTTTTAGTTATGCTCCTATCCACACTTGATGAGTGCAAAAAGTCAATTTCTGGCTTCTAACGTTGAGTTTGCATGACGGTTGTTTCTCTGTAGGTTATGTCAGACGCATTCAAATTTAAACTGACATATGGCGATTATGTGTCTGTTTTTTTAAGTCAAATTTCAAGCCTATATGAGCCTTTGCAACTCCTGAAAAGATGCATAAAAGGAAAACGTTGCAGGACAGATTTAAGGTTCAGTTGCAGTTCTGCAGCATCTTTTAGCGGCTAAACTATAAATGGAAACAAATATACTGAGGCGAATGTCATTTTGATTCAACCAGTTTATGTCCTCCTGTCTGCTGTCTTCTCAAAAACACTCCGAGCAACAATAACTAGAATTAACATCTTTCCTTAAAAACATTTGAAAGGTGCCAATGCAGTGACTGCCTTTGAAACAATCTAAGCACAGTCAAAATACAGATTTTTTATGTATAAACTACATTAACAATGTAAAGAGAACCAAAGTTAACAAAAGCAGCTAAAAGATCATCAGGGTCACTCTGTCTCTCACTCCCTGACAAGATTCTTCATTGCAGACAGAAAAACAGACTAGAAACTAAACTTCAGATGAGCAAAAACTGTAAGAAAAAACTAATCAGGTTTTGATATGTTTTTAAAGCTGCAGAAGATGCAAATCCAAGGGTGTGATGAAAACTGAAGAATAACGGGCGACTTGTAATAAGGTTGCTTTTATGCTTATGATTTGGCACGACTAATGCTGTTAAATATTATTTCACTTAAGTTTAAACTGTTCTTTTTTTGTTTGTTTTTTGCACGGTTTAAAACAAAAACTTTGGTTTCACAAAAATCATTTACCTCCTTCTCCATTCTCTGCTAGTGGCGCACTGAATGACAAATATCTGCATCTACATACAAATTAGGATCAATTTAAATAGAGTCATGCAAATCTTAGCTATCAAATGATAAATTATGATTTTAGGATTGCATTTTTTTCTTATGTTTCACCTTTTGTTTTCTACTCGAACGGTGTCCCTGCTACATTAAAGCATGTTTAAAACCACTTGGAGTTCGAACAGCTTTCTGGACCAAACACTTCATTTTCAGAAGTTCGTCATAGTTCACCTAAATAAAGTCAGTTCATTATTCTGAAACATTGTTTGTTAGAAAATAAATGGAATTAAATATTGTAGGGAAACAAAACAGAATATTTACCACGGAGGGTAATCATATTTTTCACTCACCAAGCTGAACGTCCATGGTGTACTCGCCGGACTTGACTTTGACGGCGCCGAGCTGTCCCACACACACGTAACAGCCCTCGTATTCCTCTCTGGCGTTGCTGATGTTGACGCCTCGCTGTTGGTTGCTGTGGTACTTCATTCCGGAGGGTAATGGCCTCCCGTTGCAGGTCTCCAGTTTCAGGCTGGTGACCTCCGGGTCGGTCACCAAACAGGGGATGATGCAATTGTCCCCTGCTTTCACCAGAATGTGGTTCACGATGGTGCGCTGGAAGGCATTCAGGGGGTCTAAAAGACGTGGCGGACAGGTGGAAAGTTGATTTCAGAAGCTGTTTTGGGCTTTAGAGAAGCAATCACAAGCCTCACCCCCCACTTTTACACGTACCTTTCACATAAACGTAGATGGAGCTGTGTTCTAGAGTGTTGTTGTTGACGCACACATAACGACCCATGTAGTAGGGCTGCACCGCCGACACCCGGACAGAAACCACCCCATCCTCATTCACCTCTTCGTCCAACCGGCGGGACTTCTCCCACTGCCACCTTAATGAGGACGGGGCACCAGACGCTGTGGCATTGTCATGGCAATGCAGCTCCAGCTTCTGTCCATTGGGAACCACTATATGAGGCCCACTGGGGGAGACGACTGGTTTGCTTACTGAAACAAAGGGCAAAGACAGATAAGGTGGACGTGGATTCAGTTTGAGAAACTATAAAAAAAATAATAAAAATAAAAAAATCACTGCTGGTATTTTTTGCTTGGATGATCCTCAAGGATCTTTGCCATGTTTCCCTCTATGAAATGATTCCCCAGCTGATCATAGCTGCTGCATAACAGAGCAGAACCAAACAAACACAATCAGGGGCCTAATGTAACGGTTAAATAGGATGTTATCACACAGAGCCTTCAGGACAGACTGCTCTTTAACCACCACAGCTCGGCTGAACAATCAATAGTTATGAGCCATCCAACCGCTGAGTAATCACGCTTTACGTCCTCCTAAAATGCCAATTCTGAATGATGAATAAACCCAAGCAAACCGTTTTAGTTTCAGTTAAGCCTCTTCTCTCCCATCAGATCAAGTATGAGATTTTCACATGATAAGCAGCACTTCAAGAACAAGATTTTCATGTGACTGTTTCGCCTTCGGGCTGAAGCTGAGCTCGGAGAGCAGGAGGCATCCGGATGCGTTCTCTCTCTCTTCACAATATCAATAGAAGAACTGTTTGTGCAGGCGGTGGGCGCATGTCTCCGGGCCGTTGTAAGCTTATTTGGTTGTTTTTGGTGCTAAAAAAGCAAAGGTTTCACAGAAAAAACCCCGGGCTGTTGTTTGACTCAACACTGCACAAAAAAGCTGATGGACGTCAGCGTCAACAATACGCACTGCGAACTGAGAACTCTAGCATTCCTTCAGTGTCGTTCTGCCTTGGATGCCCAAGTTTTCACATACGTGTTGGGGACGACTATCAGCTACTACCACACCAAGTCTTGGCTCAATGTTTGTAAAATTGACAGAGTTAAACCCCTTTTTTGTGTGTTTGCTAAATTCAGTTATGTGTGGCGGCCATGCTGAACCAGCTTGATTCCAAAACTTAACAAGTTGTAGACGTCCATCCAGTGACAACTTCCTGAAAGTTTAAATGAAATCTGCACTGTAAAAAATGAAATGTTGGATTTACTTAACCATGTTATGTTACCTGGTTCCACTTAACTGAGTTGAGTAAATTCAAAGCAATGTACCAGTTTTTTAACCAAAGAACATGAGTATGTTGCTTTGAATTTACCAGGTAACATAACATGTTTAAGTAAATCCAACATTTCCTTTTTAGAGTGCCACTAGTTCACAAGATATTTTGCTAACAGACAGACAGAGTTGACTCAAACCCAAAATAAATAAAAGAAAGTTTGAATTGGAAGTCTCACGTGATCAGTTAGCATCTGGGGTGTGTGTTGGGGATGACTCTCAGGTACTACCACATCACATCTTAGCTCAGTATCTGTAAAAGTGACCTTCTGACCTTTTTTTTGTGTTTGCCAACCTCGATTAAGTGCGGCGGCCATCTTCAACAGGGTTAAGTCCAAAAAGTTGATTTGTTGTGGATATACATCCAGTGATTACATTGAAGGAGTTTCATTAAAATGTATCCACTGATTCATTAGATATTTTGCTGACAGGCACACACAGAAACACACGCACACAGAGGCAACTGATGACTCAAAGACAATCAGAAGATGATTCATTTTAAATGATTTATGACATCATAGTTAAACTCCTGAAGGCTGTTGCTTTTGGTGTACGGAAATATTAGTACACCCCCCCACCCCCCTTATTTTTTTTTTTAACTTTGTGGGCACTCCTGCATAAAAACGTGTAGACATTTCCTTTGTTCCTCTGCTCCTGGGGTACAACGGGGTACGACGCACAACCTAATCCCTGTCAGTTAGGTGGAATGAATAATTAAGTGTTTTCAGCAACACACACACACACACACACACACACACACACACACACACAC